CAGTGATTGCTATGATTTATGAAACAATCTCTTAGAATGACATCCATCTGTATGAAAGCAGAGACCACACATAATTCACTAACCCTATCTTGACTAACCTGACATTATTGCTTTAAAAATAGTCATGCCAGTAAATAACTTTAAAATGCATAATGTGTATGATGCATAAAATATGAGATCATTAGCTTTTACAATGGCATATGTGACTAGCCGGAGTACCTTTACTAACACTGTTCTGCACGGAGGCTCCTGCAACTACATGGGTTGTTCTTTCAATACATCATGAACAAAACTCACCATGTTCATGGAAACAACTCTTCTTTCTCCCTGGCTTCAACTTGCTCCTTCACTTTTGCAGTCCAATATGTCCTACTTCATGAGCTCATTAATTAAGTTAAAAAGAATGAGCATGTGCCTTTTATCATATTTTTAAGGTCTGTAGAGGTCTCTGTCCCCTAGCAGAGACGCAAAGCATCACCCACTGCATTGCATCAGTAAATGTTGACTTCTGAACATTCTTTTCAAAGGTGGCTTTTAGAGACCTCATGAGGCCTCCTTTTCTAAAATATGCTTTCTAGGCAGCTCTGTGTTAAAACTCTTGTCATGAAGTATTTTCTATTTACAAGTCTTACATAGGTAGTTCTTTAAAAGCTTGAATTGCAATGTTCTTTCCACAGTACACCACAGCAAAAGTGCACCCAGGTCCTTGTGCAAAAGCAATCCACGAGCAGGTTTATCTTTGCCTGAGGCAGGAATAACCCAGACTCTTTTGTCGAGCATATTTTTTATGTGCACTACAGGAACCTTATCCCGTACTACAGTATGTAAAAGTTTTGATTGGACCAGGCCAGTCCTGTTGGCAGATCCCCTCGTGTTGACCAACCAGGTGGCTTTTGATAAATGTGTGTCCCAGTGTTTGAAGGTCCCAGCACCCATTGCTCTCAGTGCAGTCTTTAATGGTCCAATGTATTGTTTGGTTTTTTTTTCTGGAGGCTGGTGAATTATAGGGAATATGATATACCCATTCAATGCCATGCTCTTTGGCTCAATTGTCTATGAGTTTGTTTTGGAAATGAGTCCCATTGTCTGACTCAAGTCTGGGGTACTGTGTCACCATAAAACTTGCTTTTCAAAGCCCAAGGCCACATGTTAGTGTCTGGCTGAAGCTGATGAATGTTTGAGCTGCTGTGGCCCTCTTGACACTTTCTGATGATGGTGCGCTAGCTGGCTCAACTAACCAGGCAGAAAAAGCAGCTCATTTTTGCCTGATTCTACTCACTGAGCAAGATCAACCCCCCTCTGTGGTTGCTGTTGCCATGTAAAGGAAGGGCTGGGGACAGAGGAAGAAGAGTGGGGATCTACTAATCTGGGCTGAGACTGGCTTGAGCTGCTGTGCAAAACAGCACTGATGGCTTTTCAAGTTCTCTGAAATCGCTTGGTAGTTTCAGTCTTGAGATCTTTAACAACAAAATGACGGATTAGGAGCGCTTTCATTCTATCACCCTGCAATTTCTGAGATAATAAGTCTTCATCAAAAATAGTTTTAAAGATCTTTACTACTATACCGCTTGTCTCAAGCTGAAGTCCCAGGCATATTTTGACAGTTTGCCTACTCACTTCTACTTGAAATCATGATAATATCTGGAGAACTCAGGCATATTCACGGAATCTGCCTGCAGAAAACAACTCCAAATTCAAAACAGATATCATATTTCTTAAAAATGAATTCTATTAATTTATGTACCTTTCTGAAAGTGGTAATCAGTCACCTGATTTTAAAAGGCTAAATCAGATTTAGCCTTTTAAAATTCTACAACTTTCTGGTGCTGCAATAGGATTTATTGTCTCCTTCCTTGTAAGCATGTCCATTAAGTTGTAATGTCATTTATTAATATGAATAAGAGATCACTATCCACAACAACAATGGATTCCCTAAATTTCATTGATCAAAGGAAGAAAATTTTACAGCTGTCAAAAAAATGGCCGTACTGACTGTTGTCAGAGAAAGAATTGTGCAGTCTTCTCATTTGTGCTTTGCTAGTCCCATATCTCTTGAGCTATAGCTCACGGGCTTGAACAAATGAAGCTGATGGCAAATACATTCTTTGCATGGACTGCTTACACTCACCTTCCCAAGCAGCCCCTCTCCAGTGTGTGAGACACTTCAAAATCAGAGTACCTGTTATCATTTCCATGGGGGGTTTTGAATGTTTCTTTGTTTCTGACCATCATGTGCTCACTCTCAGTCATTCACCAGCTCAATGCATTAGACATTCTTCTGTTATCAGTTCTAATAGACATGGACATCGTCCTTTGCCATTTCTGGGATGTCTTCCACAGCACAGGAAGTGACACTATGCCTTTGTCTCATACTGCCAGTCATTTCTATGTTAGGTTTGGTACCTTAGAATTTTTGACTAGACAAGAGAGCATCCTTAGTTTTCCTGTTGCACCAGTGTAATGATTTATTTGAATCTGCTGACCCCTGGTAGTCATTCTGCAAATCCCATATATCTCATAGTGGTCATGCAAGAATATTCTATGTTTCCTCCGTGCTCCGATCAAGGGTCTCCCAAGAAAAATTGAGGAAGTGCTTTTGAGTAACTGTGATCTTTCCAGTATAAATGTCTTCTATAGGTTCTTTGAAGCTGGTCACATCTCATTTCCTTTCTGTGTCTCACATCTGTCTTAGAGTACTGCAAGGCTTGCGTCAGCCTTGATTGATGGGGAGATATGAGGGCAAAATGCAAAAAGGGTGGATATCTGGCAAGTAAAAATGAGCTGTCACACAATGTATTTTACTGGGATCAGCTCAGCTGTTGTATCCCAGAGAGGGATGTCTTTCCTGCTCTTGGCAGGATGGTTGGCACTGAAGGATGAGAACCTGAGAGCAGCTGTTGGCCTCACACTCTAAGCCTTAGACTACCCTTGACATGCAAACGTGGGAAGCAAAATAAGACCCCAAATGTGTGTGTCTGTGTATATGCCTACATACACAAATAAACATTTTTCTAAAAGTTTTAAATGCTTAATGATGCACCTGTTGTAGAAGGATTTTTAATGCTACTTGAAGATGTTTATATCAACTTAATGCAAATGTATTCAAACCTTTTAGACAATAAAAAGCACCGTGCAAAGGGATGATCCTTTGAGATCGATGACAAAGGAACATCAGGAAAAGAAATCATCTAACTGCCTCTTTGGCAGAAGCACAACACCGACTGGCAGGAAGACACCTCACCAAGGAAGACTGACCCCTTCTGAACCAGAAAAAGTAAGTCAGTAACAAGATCTATTTAGACTGCCTTTATTTTCTTTTTACTGTACTATTTAGAAGCTGGATTTGGATCCTGATCCCCACATAGCTGTTGCTTGGTCTTCTTTACTTGGTCCTGCAGGATTTTTGCCAGAAATTATCTTAGATACTTTTTATACATATATAACATATAAATATAAAATATATTTGTATATATTTTGCTGTTTGGGCAGCTGCGGGCCAGATCATGGTGAATGCTTTGAAAACTGCACCACTTACCCTCAGAAGAAGTTCAGAGGTGATCCCATTCACTAAGCATAAAGGCATCGCATAGGCTAGCAGCTCCCTGGGCACCAGGGGCTGGGAGCATCAGGGTCTCCCCATGGAGTCTGTCAGAATAGGGCCTATCCCACAGTCCCAGCCAGGGAGGGTGCAGGCTGGGGATGGAAGTCAGGGTCAGGCCAGAATCCCAGTCATCAAAATCCATACTGATGAGACAGCCCATGGGTCAGGGTTGGGATATGGATCAATGCATAGCCAGCCACAGGCATGGCTGCACCAACATGGACTGAGAGTGAGAGCTGCTGAAATGCAGCTCCCAAGATAAGGGATGGGGTGGGAGGAAGGGGAATGGATCTGTCTGAGGCTTCTTCCAGCTCTTCCTCTCACGTCTCTTTCCACAACAGTCTGAACCAAGATTAGGCACTGATACCTTGTCCGTGTACAGACATCTAAACTTCTAGAAGTGCACTGTGGCCATGTCACTAATAGCTCCCATGCTACAGTGAAGCATGGCTGTATGTCAGGACATCTCCATTTTGCTTCAGGTTGTACATCAACCCTCTCCTGCTGGAAGAAGAATAAATGACAGGAAATCACCTGGAGCTGTCTCACACCTGAGTGTTGGTTTTAAGGAGCCTAACTCATCTTCCTATGTAAAAGGTAATATTTGTGGGAAATTTCTGCCTACTTAGAGTGGTCTACAAATGACTTGGAGGCATTAGACCACAACTCTTGGCTCATGGGCAATATGTTGTCACTAAAACTCTCTTATGATTCTTAGAAGGATTATGAAAATTTTATTTTACGAGACAGACAGAGCAGGTTGTGCTGTTGCCTGCTTACTCACTGAGTTTGTTGTCCTGGAAACCCAGAAGATGAGAGAACAGATGTGGTCTGCACTTCACTTTGGCCAAGGACAAAGCACCTTTGAGAGGGTGGTCAAGCTGTTAGCAAACATTATCAGTATAGGAAGCAAGGTTTTGCAAGAATCTGAGAGCTAGCATCTTAAAAAAAATCTTCTGAGATAAGCATGGAAACATGATTCAGTAATTTTCATATGATTTCAGTGACCCCTTTTGCTTTCCTTTTTCTTACAGGCAGGTCTTTACCCATTTCATATAGCTCAGAAGACATGCTACTCTCACACAAGCACAGCAATGACACTTGCAGCTTTGCACCCAGCAGTAACAATGAAGAAACAGAGGTATTTCACCTTGTAACTCTATGAAATAATTCAGTGAGTCTGTGACCTTAGTTTTTGTATATAGCATACTAACTCCCATCCAGCAGTAAAAGGTATTCACCTGGTTTTATTTTCTTGCTTCTACTCATAAGTACAATCTTAAAAACAACATTGCAATATCTTACAAAAAATATAGTAGATTTCTTTATCACGATGTTCCTGCACAACTGTTGAACATTAATACTTATGTTGCTAGTTATCTTTTTTATTTTTGCTCAGAAAGGAGAGACTCTTAATCTTATAAAGACAGAAAAATCTCTAAAACCTCAGAATAAAGTGGCTTTTGTGACCACACAGAGGAGAAGTGACATAACTGCATATGACAGCAAAGTACCTACAGACAGTTCTGCTTTTGTGGATGCTGAAGCAAAGGTTTGAGCAACTTATAATTCTGGTTCTTATATGATCAGCAACTGTCTTCATTCCATTTGTGATCTGAAAATCCTGAATAGCCTGTAAGTTACACAGTTAACATTACATATAGCTAAGAACCATGTAAGTTGTTTTGGAAGAGAGGATTTAGCTAATACAGGTACATTTATTTCAAATCAGTAACTCTATTTAGAGGCAGTCCCATTCTTTGTTCTTGTGTTTATTCTCTCCATTTCCTATAGTATAGTTTCATCAGAATCCACACTTGTCACCTCATTTTTGGACTTTCTCTATGCTATCTTTTTCTTTGCTAAATGAAGCTAACTGGTGTTAATGTGCAACCTTTCTAGTTATGATTAAAAGATCAAAATTGATTACAAATGCAAGGCAATACCAGAAAGAAGGGCAGCTTTCCTCTGTGTGTGTGAAAGTAAATATGAGTTTTGCACAGTTGGTTAAAATTAATGAAAATATTTTTAAAACATTTTTTTTTATGTAACACTGACTATGATGTTTTCATAATATAGCCTCCAAAATCAGTATTATCTAGAAGGTCAATCCTACATCAAGAAAGAAGAAAAAGTGAGGAAGAGGTGCAGGAAAAAATAGAGTATCGTGATGGAAAGGTGAGATAAAATAAGATGCAAAAATACTTGAAGTGATCATCAATAGGACTGCAGTACAAATGGGAATCACTGCTTCAAGTAGCCATAGACAATTATGTCTTCAATTAACTGCCTGTTCCTTAAAGGAGACCTGAAATGTAAAGTTCACATCATGAATGACAGGAAATATCTATAGCTGATGGACTGAATATCAAGTAAATTAATTGTTTTCTTATTTCCTACATGGATTTGCTCTGTGAATTTCACCAAATCCATTCATTTTCTCTATCTCAGTTACGGGCTGGGAGGAATTATATGTTTAACAATAGAAATTAAAATGTACTAGTGGGGTAGTGATGGGGTTTGGTAGCGCAAGATTAAAAGCCATTCTTTTCTTTCCTTGGATGGGAATCTAATGGTAGTGAGATGTGCCAGCTGGACACACCACTGTGGGAGAAGCCTTTCCTTATACACAGGTGGATATGCCAGGAGTAGCATTAGTGGAGTTGGGCTCGATGCAGCCTGTCCTGTTTGCTCACGCCACCTGTCAAAATTCCCAGTGATTCCCCAGCTGCATCTGGAGATTGCTTCAAACTGCCCCTTTTCCTGAAGGCCCATAGCTCAGCTTGGCAGCTGGTTTCAACCCTTTCCTGGAAGTCCCTGTTTTCCAGGAAGGGATGAGCAGGCAATTTCTGCTGGCTTCCCACTGTGTCCCTCAACTCCTTGCCATGAAGCTAGACAATTTGTTTCTGAGTGGCCATGTAACCTTTACTGCACAGCACCTCATGTGCTTTGACTTCATTAATATTAAATGCTCTATGTGTCTGAAGGTAGAAGAGGTGCTTACTGATGGACGTCGAATCATCACTTTCCGCAATGGTACTAAAAAAGAGATCAGTGCTGATAAAAGGACGATGACATTTAGCTTTTTCAATGGAGATGTAAAGAAGATCATGCCAGATCAAACAGTGGTGTGTAACTTGGTTTTTCCTTTAAGTAAAATAAAATTATTAAGTGATTTTCCAACAATGTCATATCATTTACCTTGATCTATCAGTTCTGGGAGAAACTGGTGAGGAAGGGTGTTGGTTTAACAGCCCTGAGCAGTGAAACTGCTTCATCTATAAGGACAAAAGTGGAGGTGAAAGCAGCTGGCAAGCAAGGAACAAGCAGGTAGCTGGTTAAGCAGATTAAAGGAGACTGAAGGAAGGCAAAGGGCACAGGCAGCCAACTGAATCAAGGACTGGTTTTTGTATGTTTGTAAGGCAGGTAGCATAGGGGGTGCTTCCCTCTGGTATTATGTAAATATAAATGGTTAAAACTAGTGTGAGCTAGAGTGGAAATAAGTGAGGCCTTGGCATCAGCAGAACTATTTTAAATCAATAGTGCATGGCTAGGAGCCGAAGCAAAGAGGTGGGAAGATGATTTTCATGCATGCACTGTTCTCTTGTATGCTGCAGAGATGAAAGAAGCATCATCTAGACACAGCCATGAGGAGGGGGGTGAATGAGAGGAAGGAACAGCAGTACAAAAATAGCTACATTTTTGTCAGAGGCAGAAAATGACCTTGAAATTACCTTTTTAAGATGGGTTATTTTTAAGCACATTTTTATGGTTGAATCTGCTTATGCAAATATTCTGAGCATGCTACAAACACTTCACTCTCCTTCCAGATTTATTATTATGCAGATGCACAGACAACCCACACTGCTTATCCAGATGGCCTGGAGGTGCTGCAGTTCCCTAATAATCAGATAGGTATGCAAGAGCTGATAAATGTGAACTATACATGCAGGAAGGTTTTTATTATGAAAGTGTTGTCTGATTCTGACTCCAGCAGATCGGGTGTTTTCTTCTCATTTTGCTTTGCCTTTTTATTTCTCTTCCAGTATGTTCCATCAATTTACTGCACAGTTTCCTCCTACAAAAGAAAGATAATAATGGGTTGTAAATGCTCTTTTTCTAATTTTGATTATCTGAACATTCAATTCTTTGATTTGTTTAGCAGTACACTGGATATCATTTCCAATCTCATTAAAATGTCCCCAAAAATTTTATCTAGCCCTATGTAAAGAAACATGGAAGAATACCAGACAGACTTTTTACATCTTCTTTTCCACAGAAAAGCATTATCCTGATGGCACAAAAGAAATTGTGTTCCCAGATTCCACAGTGAAATGCCTCTATAGCAACGGATTCAAGGAAACTATTTTCCCAGATGGTACAGTAGTAAAAGCAGAAAAGTAAGTCTCATGTTAGTGACAGGTACCAGGCACTGGACACAGGTACAAAGATACTGACATTTAAAACTCTGTCTGGATTCTGCATGGCTGGGAAATTTCCACATGAAGGAAGAAAGGATTTGGAAGATAATGAGGGATTTGCTACAATGAGGCACTGAAAATTGTTCACTTCCACCTTGGATGATAGGTGACTGTGCAATTTTCCTCATTTAGTTCCATGTAACTTTACACCGGCCAGGGTTGCTGGGAACTCACCAGCCGCCTGTGTTAGCTATGTGGTACTGAAGGACTCAGGATGAGGACTCCTGAGCTCTATTCCTAGCTTTTTGTCTGTCTTTCTGATCTTGGGCAAGAGATAATCATGCATTATCTCTCTATTCCTCCATATAAAATGAGGAAAAACAACAAAAAGACTTTCTGACACGACTCTTCTGGGCTTAGAGAGGATCCTGTTGTAAAATAGATTTCCTGCTTGCAAAACGCCTGAGATCCCTTCATGAAGTCATGTAAAAATGCAGATCTCACAATGTATTAGGTATTATTCTATGCACTGAAGTACTTTGTATTGAAATTTTATTGTGAGATCAGATCTCATGCCATCCCATGTAAATTCTGAGGTGAATTATAGCCTACCTGAGAAAGTTCCCACTTGACATTATTTTCCACTTTCATTGTGTCACATTAGACAGCTCAGTGAGATTAATAACAGACAGTACCTTCTCACCACTTCGTTCGTTGCTATTTCTTTCAGGAATGGAGATAAAATAGTGGTATTCAGTAACGGCCAAAAGGAGATTCACACTGTGCAGTTCAAGAGGCGGGAATACCCAGATGGCACTGTGAGAACTGTGTACTACAATGGCAGACAGGAAACCAAGTACTCCACTGGACGAGTTCAAATCAAAGATGAGGAGGGTAATATCATCCTAGATAAGAAGTGATTCCTCTCCTCAAGGGGCTGCACTCTACGTAAGTTAGCTCAACCCATTTTCTTGGCAGGTCAGAACTGATAGGAAGATTTAAACCTTGTGAAAATGAACGGATGGAGCTGTAGGGCTGAAATCCACTTTGTCTCAGTGACTGGTGCTTAGTTCGGAATAAACTTATCCAAAAGAAATGTCTCTTGGGTGAGACTTGCAGGAGATGCAGTCATGTCCTCTTTGTATATGTAACACTAAAATAAATGCCCATAGTATTTCTCATCAAAGTCTTTGTTTCATTATATTGATCACACTTACCCTTGTTTCTCTGCTAGTTAGTTACGAAAGTGACTACAACAAAGGATCATGGCCTAAGAACCTCAAATCTACAAAGCTTTCTGAATTTTAGATAAGTGTTGCCTTATGCCAAGTAAAACAAATCTATGTGTTGGTTGGTTGGTTTTTTTTTTTTTCTCAGTTAACCATCACAAAAAATGTAGAAGCGATTAAAGTTTTCAATTTGTCTGGATTCTTTGGAGCAGAAGATCCCAGCATGTATCAGGCCTTATCATGAGCTGTTTGTTAAACCAAAACCTGATCAGGAGTTGAGTGAACAGTCACAGCTCTGAATGTTCCTTCTAACCTAAATTATTAAATTATTATATGATGATAATCTAAGAACTCTGTCTCATGCATTCGAAGACAAAATATAATGTTTATTCCATCCTGGTCATTACTCCGGATGAAATACCCCTTTCTTCTTCCTCCAGCAGTCTTTCCTCAGACCTCCTTTGTGTCGCTTTGTATTTGAATTAACCTCTCCTGCTCCTGCCTTTATTCTTCCAGTAATGCAAAAATATTTCTGGTCAGTGAATCTTTCCATCTTTAAGGCTCTTTGAATGGCACTCGATACCCAGGGGGATTAATCATTTATCAGATGCTGCTATCAAATGCTTTCCCTACAGACTGCCTGTCCATCATCTGTCTTGAATTTTTCTGAGGCACTGAAGCATTTCCCCTGTAGAGCTCAGCTCATTACCTGCCTATTGACTGAGATGACCAATTATCTCCTTATGCCCTCCATCAATTCCTGTAACAACACACTTTCATAGCATGCTGCTTTAGCCACTTCTCACACCTAAGTGCAAAATAATTTCAAGATTATGGAATTGCTTTTTCTTCTCTTCCATTTCCAGTGGGCCAGACTACCAATGAATCACCATTCAAGTTACAGAGCATCTTTGGAAGAAAAAGATTGAATAGAGCAAGAAGTGTTGCTAATATTGATCATCATACACATGCTTCAGTTTATGAATTTAATTATGATGCTGGGAAAATCCATGCAATTTGATGTTGGCTGGTGTGATAATAAAATGCATTGTTTTCTTTTATTCCTGTGTAACAAAGGAACAATTTTTAAACCTGTGTTTTTCTTTAGTGAAATATTTAGTATATGTTATGTGCTTTGTGAAAGGAAACTCTAATTAAAATAAATCCAAGATATCATTCTTTTCCGTGTGTTTCAGTAAAAATTTCAATTCAGTGCTGCATTCAGTGCTGACCAAAACAAATATATGCTGACTTTTTTCTTAATTAACCATGCTGAAAAAAAAAGGATTGTGATTAATGTTTTCAGTTTGTCTGGGAAGCTAGAAGTGATACGAGTGTCTTCTAGAGGACCACTGTTCTTGTTTCCAGGAATTCCTTTTAACAAAAGGTCCCTGTTCACCAGTTAATATGCTGACATTCTCTTTGTTTCTATAGTAATACAGAAAACAGGCTTTGTTTGCAGCTTTTAGCCTAAAATCACTGTTTGTCACTCAAAAATCTGTGTATATAATCCCTTCTAATTGTAAATTAAATAAGGAACAATTTTGTTTGTATCCTGCTTGATCCTTGCTTTGTTAAACACTCTCAACTGTACTGCATTCATCAGCATAATGAATGCACACATCAGCAAGGTGTTTCCACACGTGCACTGCTGCATACATAGTTTTAGAGACTGACTTGCACATATCGCATGTGCATTACACCTGTGTAGGTCAAATTATTCCAGAATCAAAATGCTTCCTGCAAGTACAGTTCTACTTTCTGGCAAATCAGTGGCAACCTTCCATTGGTGAAAACAAAGAGTGAGACTATTGAGGATTTCACAGTACTTCTGCTAACCTGTGCCTGGCCATTGCTTTTACCAAGACGTGTTTTGCAAGTGATTGATACTTTATAGCATAATAGCAAAGGGATTATTGAAATAAGGGGCAAAAATTTGGCTTGAAAAGGAGGAGACAGAAAAAACATCTACATAAACGACAAGTTCTGTTAAGCAAATTATAAATGGGAGTCCTTTACAGACCACTTATGACACTCCACATTGTTTTTCACAGGCTGATCCTCAGACCCTATCTCCTCCACCTTCCACTTGCATTAGTTAACCAGAAGCAGTAATGGCTCTACCATCCATAGCTCCAAGTTGTAGGAACGCAAACAATCCAAATTAAGTGTGACTGCATACATAGTTAAACAGTAGCAAACAGGTACCTACTTTACTATGTTTTTTGTCCTAGAGAGTGAACAAATCTTTATGAGTCCTTCAGGGAGATGGAACACAGGTTGGAAATGCCACTTCTCATCTTTCCACGGGTTTTCTGGCATTAGTGGAAGCATGCTACAGCCAGGATTTGGCCTCAATTTTAATTCAGATTTAGAATACGCTGTGACTTCTGAACAGTGTTACTTCCATTCAGACAGCTGGGGGCAGCAAAGATGTGCAAGGGAAGAGAAGTCTTTTGCCCGTCATCTAGAATGCTTCACTTTAGTGTAGGTATTTTTCCATGCACATCTGAGCACCAGTTTTATCGCAAGCATAACAAAGCTGCCTAACCACTGTACTCTCAGGTGGCATTTTTGAGGATGTTTTGAGAAATGCAATTCTCCTTTTTTATCCTGGGATTTCTTTAATATTGCAAGAAGTCCTTTAAAAGGTTATTACTTTATTTTTTAAAAAATAATCTCTCATGGCAACTGATAAATAACAATTTTCAAGTTGTGTATTGTTTGACATATCTTTCTAATACAATTTCAGTGTACGTCTACCTCCTTCCAGCTGAAGTTGTCATGATATATCTATATAACCTAATGTCATGAAGTTACACAGAAGTTAAATAGCCTACCCTTTTCTTTGTGTTCTGCTGATTAGATGGTAACTGTTTGCTCACTAGTTTGTTTATTTCCTTATGATGCTCTTTATATCTGTGTTTTCACTCGCAGCTTGAAGTGCAGCTTCTTTGAAAGGAAAAATAAGTACACAATCTTCTACATGAGGGATAGGCCTCTGTTTTTTACTAGAGAGAATATAGAGGTATGTGGTAAACCTGTAGTTGCAGAAGTCAGATGTAGATAACCAGAGGCTGAGTTGGGCAGAATTGTGTGCAGAATGCCCAGCTCCTGGGAACTGGTTATTTTTAGTTTCAGCTTTTGCTTGGGAGGGTATCTTCGGCATGCTCATCCTTTCCTGCAGCTGAAAAGTCAGCATTTTTCCTGGATGTGCTCTGGCAGTTTTCTTGGTCATGGTAGCCACCTTTCAAATTGATCCTCTTGCAGCCTGCAGGGCAGGTTGTACAGAAGAAGCAGCAGTCCATTTAGCCACTTTTTTGCAAGCAAGGAAACCTGCAGTCTCCTCGGTGGCACTCTCACCAGCTGTGCTCCAGGGCATCCACCTTCTGCCTGCCTTTATCCTAGACTCTTGGTTTTGCCTCAAAATGTTGATCTGCTTGTAGTTCAGCAGTACAACAATATCATGAAGCAGTTTTCTTTCCACAGTGTCATTAGTGGAACAGTCTAAACACAATTCTGGACTGTAGTTGACTTCCAGAAGCCACAGCTTGAATTTGCCATCAATCTGGATGTCAAAGCCAAAGACCTCAAAGCAATTGGAGGCCACTGGTAAGGGTGTTATGGCAAGCAGGGTGAGAATCACTGTGTTACTGATCTGCCCGTGGACCATATCATCAGCCCCAAATACTCAAAAGTAAGAATGAAATTTGCTGAAGGTCCATTTGCAGACACAGCAAATCCCTTCTTTATATATTTAGATTTCAGTGTTATTCTTTCTCACAGTTTTGATTTCCTGAAACCCCACAGATCTGTGCCCTGAGGATTAGGTTCCATGTTCAGAACAGAGAGTGTAATGGACAAGAGAAGGGTTTGCTGAGGATCATCCCAACATAGCATTAATAAACCGATCTCTACCTCCTCTCTGAAAGTAACAAGGAAAAGAAATACAAAATGGGCAGAACACATGCTACACAAGAGTCCTTCATACCCTATTACCAGTGACATTCTTGCTCTTTCTTTTCAGGCTGAGTTTTAGATTCCAGAATGAGTAGCCTCTGCCTTTCAAACTACAGAAACCAAGGGAACATGTCACATTGCAAAGTACTCTATTCAGTCTGTAGCTGACTTGGCCAGGGACACTTTTTCTATGGAAAAATTACAGTTTGTTGAAATAGGAAGCTTTTTTCCAGAGAACAAAAGTAATCTTTTGCCAGCTTTTTTATTTCATCTGAATTTTCTTGTTTTGAAATTGTTACAATATCTTATTTTAATTTTTTTAATTACAATGGTTCTGATTTTTTAAATGCTAGTTTAGTTTTAAAACGAAAAGACCAAATGTGGAATTAATTATTAAAATGTAAATTAACATAATTCACAAGTTTTGCAAGTCACAAAACCATTTAAGATTCTCATTATTGTATTTGAATGTGAAAAACAATTCAAAGATTCTTGTGGGATGAAAAAACATGTTTCTCTCCCCACTCTTGACATTTGGTGACTCTCTCATATGATGTACCTATGTCTTGGCTGTCCAATGCATTCTGCTGCTGTTAAGACTCCAAGGGGGAACCACAAAGCAATCACAGAGCTCTTCTACAAGCAGTGCTGTGAAGTCTGTAACAAGTGCTTTACAACGCAGAGAGCAAACCCGTGAGACTCTCAATGGGGGCTTGATGGGAGGAGGGTTTTGGAGAAGGGACCAGGAGGTATTTCGGGAAGGCTGGGAGGCATGGCAGTGGCTACTTCACCTAGGACCCTTGTGTGTAGGTCAAAAATAGGCATGGACCACCTTATATCCTTTAGTGAGGGAATCATTGACTAAAAATTAAGGGGTCTGAAGCAAGCTTTGGTTCAGGATGCGGGGAATGAGGCTTCTACTGAAAAGGGACTTCAAGCCTCATTAATGGGCTGTGACTGTGGCCAAAATTTGGATTTCTATATACAATGACTTTCCATGTCCCAAAGTAATATGCAATTTTATATTCCAATAGTAATATGTATATTAATATAATTAGTAATGTTTTACTGTCACACTTGGGATACCTTACCATCTCAGGTTTAAGCTAACGTTGGAAAGGAGCAAGTTTGAAACCACTGGGATTATTTCTCTGAATCCCCCTAGAGATCCCTTTGGTCAGTCTGTTTCAGCTATCCTGCTTGCCTTATCTCCCAGTTTCTGAGCACCTGCAACCTACTCACTGGGGGTGCAGAGTGGGAAAAAGAGAAAACCTGTAAGCTGTGCAAGTACTACTCAGTAATAGCCAAAACACTGGTGTATTAGCAACACTGTTTTAGTTACAGAAATCCAAAACACAGCACCATATGGGCTGCTATGAAGAAAATTAACCCCATCCCAACCAGACCTAGTACAGCAATAAAAAGAAAAACTTAAGGGATCCCTCTGAGGGAGGGATTATCATTTTTGTTCTGAGGTTGTATAGTACCTCATGTAGGGAGATCCTGATTTCTGCATTGGGCTGTTGCAAATAAACAATACATGGTTATGTTCACACAGATCAGATTTTCACTGATGTTGATCTCCAAAATCCTCTTTGCTTCACTTGCTGTTGAACATTGCTGTGCAAAAGAGAATCAGAGGAGGATTTGGTGTTGTGTTTCACTGCTTGTTATTGAGATGAAATTAAATTTCTACATCAGATGGAAGCAGGGCAGGGTGAGAATCAACAGCAACCTGGCAAATCCATCTGTTATCTCTGGACAGCTGGGAGGCCATCAAGATTCTGCAGAAACAGTAGTTTTGCCATTTATATTTCCAACAGAATGATTAACAGCATGCCTTTGAGCTGGGAGGCCAAAGGCTCAAGAGAAAGGTGGATCTGTGAGGGAACCCACCTACTGCCTTCTTTTCTGCAGGACATAATGAGCTCTACTTAATTGTATGAGACCTGGAAAAGAAGATTATCATTTGAAAAGCCATGAATCTACACAGGTGAAGTCTGGAGTGGAGTCCACATGCTTGAGAACAAGAAATGTTAGAGGGATAGCAAAGTAGTATGAAAGGTTCTGTTATTTAAAAGACACAACAATTTGTTTGATTTTGGGTTTTTTTTACATAAATTGTATTATTTATTTCTGTCATGTTGTTGCACCATATGGTGCCTCATCCTTCTGTTACAGTTAATAACTGAGAAGAAGTAGTTTCATATGTTAGCTCCATGATGTGCAAAAACTTAACTAGCCGTGTAGTTTATTTCCAGGGGCAGCAATAATCTTGGAGTTGAACAGCATTTGCCTTCAATTGCTTTTATGCTGTCTGCCTCACACAGAGGATCTGATCATAATGTCATTACCAGTAATGATCATGATATCTGTACAGTGCTTTGTCATCAAGATGCAGGGACTCTGCACAGTAATTGCACTATAGCACTCTTCTCCTTGCAGTAAAACCACAAAAATCCAAATCTGGAAAAAATATAGTGTGGGTAAAACTTAACAGAAGTTGAAATGAAATGAGGAAAATCCTTATCTGAGACCCTGCTACATCCGTATAGGTGCCAAGGAGATATAACAGTATAGGCACATCGTCCTTTTCTCCTCATTCTGTGACTTGCACTGTTATCTGCATCCTCTTTGTGGCTGAGTTCCGCAAGTATCACGCCCTGGCCACTTCTCTTGAAAAAGGCTCTGTCTGTGGGTGAGAAAGTGGGGGAAGTTCATCATGACTGAAGTATTTGGTCATGTGAAAGGCATCTCTTCTGGGAGAAAGATGCTGTAAGTGGTGACAGAAAAATTGGAGACAGGAAACCCTGGGATAGAAGGATGATATGGGTAGAAACACAACTGTCTGCTGACCTAAGACAAGTTGGTGGACTCAGTGGTTGGTGGGTTTTGTGGTGTTCAGATGTGAGCTGTCGGTACAGCCAGTTTACAACTTGATGTTATTTACAAGTGTCAAAGAATGCAGGATAAGAACCATATAAATATTTATTAGTTGTTCCATGAAACGACGTGTGTTGTCTGCAATCACCTGAGCAATCCCCACTGCTGTAATCTTCTGATTTTGCATGTGGGCTTTTCAGGTTTAATTGTAAGCCTATAGTACTAGGTCTGATGCACAGATACAAAAATGTGAGGGCCTCAGGAGTCTTGCTCACATTTATTAAGACTTTATTAATTAAAAAAAACCCCAAAAAACAACAAAGCATTTAGTTGGTCATACATATGAAAGGGTGAAGTCAGATAAACTTCCCTTATAAAGCTGAGATTTCAAAAGAGTTTTTTACTCCTAAGACATTTGTATTACACCGGCCTTGAAAGCTGTCCCTTTACCATCCTTCTGGACACAGTACACATTGGAATGCCTTTGGAGACATGCCTATAGGAGCCAGCCAGTTTGTTTTGCCTGCATTGCTCTGACCCTGTTGGATTACATATGTGTATCCTGGGTGAGGGGTCCTACGCCTTCCTTCTTTGTAGCAGTAGGTGTCCCAGGGGGGCTCTTAGCTTCGAGGTATTCAACTGCTCCATAAGTCACCATAGACAACACAAGCACAGCCAATAAAATGTACAGTTTGATGTAGACTTGCAATTTGGTGCTATAACCAAAGGCGATGACAAATCCTAACGATTCCCAGAGACGGTAGTTTGCGAAGGCAGCCTCCTTGTGTTTCTCAAATAAAATGCCATAGAGTCCTAGAAGGAAGGAGAGACATGGCTTGTGAAGATTAAGTCTGCAACTATGTATTTTCTGCAAAGGGAACAAAGAGACGACAATCTCCCTCATAAATGTCAGAGAAAGAAAAACACAAACTTTGTTTTAAAACATACTTATGCTCCTGTGAATTGCTATAAGTGAAATAACAGAGCAAAAATGACACAATAGAGAATATCAGAGAAAAAGGGAAAGAAGATAGGAGGAAGAAAGGAAGGATGGGCTCTACTGAAGTGAGATGGCAGGAAGTTAATTTCTCAAACTATCAGCCACAAAAAGGAAGATTGTTGCACTGAGGAGCAAGTAAGAAAGGAGGAAAAGGAGATGGCCAGAAATGGCCATTGACACTATAGACCTTCCATGTAACCTATTGAGAAGGTTATACCAAGTCCTTACAGGCTTCCAGGTAGTTTTGTCTAGGGACAACATGGTCCTTAGGGATCAAGTTGCTCTTTCAGTGTAGGGTAGAAAGAATCAAAGACCTCCCACTGCCATCCTTCGCCAGTTCTGGGGGGAACCTGCATGAACCCTGCATAGAGTATCTACCTGTTCTTCAAACCATTTCTTTCACCTGCCTAAGAACATGGAGAGAGTGTTCATGTAAAACGCATGTCACTTGTTTTCACCACCACTTGGCCTCAGAAAGCCCCCAGGTGAAGCTCACAGTGTTGCCAATGGTAGTAACATATATGCAGAGCAGACTTGCTCTGAGATAAATAGGTTTTCAAATTTTCAGCTCCTGGATGATATGTCAAAAAGAATAGCTTTGATGCATACAGAAACTCTGGTCAGCAACTGGAAAATGTTCTTGACATAGAAATTTGGTTACACTGGTCATCCTGATGCACTTGTGTTCACTGGGAAGTTCCCACTGGGTTCAGTCAGCTGTACACCCACAGCTGGGAGTCAGGGAGGGATACCCAGCCTCCAGGTCTGACAAGTCAGGCACACAGGGAAGGGAAGAGAGCTTACTTTCCTCTGGGTGCTGACCTAGCATCAGTGGTGATAAAGAAGCAAGCATTTCCACTGACTTAGCTGTGGTGTGCAGGGCAGGAAGGCAAGGAATATAATGAAACTTGACTCTTCTCATCCACTTCTCTATCTAACAACACATCAGTTTGAAATATGCACATTCAGCCAAAAGGCATAGAGGAACACAAAGTTCTCTAAAAATCTGGGTTGGTTCAACTAACCCTTCAGTTTTGTTAAGAAGGGGGAGATATCATCTGTATGTAAAAGCTTACCCCATCCTGATGACTGTAAAAGGACATTTACTGAATGTTTCAATTTAGACATGATAGAAAATCTGGACAAGTGCATCACAAAACGTACTTAGTTCATTAAACTGGCAGAGTGTAGTGTAGTGTGAATTATTCGATAATAGTTCATTATTATATGCCCTGTGCTATCTTCTGGAAAGGGATTAGTGAGGAAAGTTATTACAGGAAGGCTTCTGATGCCATGATAATTCTCTGTGTTGAGATTCTGGCTTGCAGCTGGTACCTATTTTCCCTTGCTATTTTGAAGCCTCCTTTTTCAATCAAAGGAATGGGAGAATTGAGGATCTAGTCCAAGGTTCAGCTATAGGAAAAGATGATTTGGCAGGAGAGATTTCATTTCCAGGGTGTAAATGTGGTATTAACTAGCAGTTATATAGGAGTGCAACGGTGATTTTGCCTCGAATCTGAACATTTGTCCTTAACACGAAAAGTCAGGTGCAGTGTGGTGCAAGCTGCCTGGCTGGAGCTTAAACAGGACCTGCCAGGCTGACTGAGTGGAGAGACTGCTAGTCTGAATTTTTGCAGCTCAATTCCATGGCAATTACCCTCTCTGTTTACCACTGCCCATTTTCCCACTCCTTTCTCTGGTCCTAATAGGCATGGGTACATAGTAGGACTGCTGGAAATTACTTGAGTCCAGGTCTATAAACCTTCCAGACTGATTTATATTCTTCCTAAAGATACACGTCAGCTTGGAAAGAACTTTATTTTACTGTAGTCTACCCAAAGCTTAGCTCTGCGCTATACAATGGTTACACCCCAAGTGCAGTTATTGCCAGGGGGATAACCTGTGTTCAGGTTAGATAAGAGAGGGCACTCCACGCTCTGAAATGAAGCAGCTTTCTTTGGAAATAAAGGAGAGTGTCCACACACATGCACAAACATGTTAGGAAAGCTTTAAAAATTCGATTCACCTACTGTGAGCCTATATATCCTCTAGGGGGAACTCCAGTATTAACTATCCACAGCAGGCCAAAGTGAGCCATCCTAGACAACCATAGAATACCTTAAGCACACGGCACAATGCCATTCTGCTCATTCAGTGGTTAATACACTGAGGCCCAAGCAGCAGTCATGGGAGCTTGCCAAAGGAAGGACCAGAAACCTTAATCCCCAGTGCTGTTTTAGAAGTCTTATCTCACCTCATAGCCTTTGGAGCTGGGAATTCCTCATGTGATGTGTATCTGTATAAAACCGATGAAGGGGAAAAGAGATTTAATCTTAAATGGGTATGTCAAACTGAAGATCCTGTTCTGGGATGAAGCATTATGGAGTAATGTCACTGCACCTCTCTGATAAGGTTTCATGTCATCACCTGATGTTTCAGTGTGACAATATGACAAAGCAAACTCTGTATGATTTTATAACTGGGAGCTGTGGAACAGCTGAAGAAGGTACAGACAAAAAAGCATAAGGAACATTTGAGGTTTTTCCCAGCAAACACAAACATGGAATTTGCATAAGAATCCTGCAGGGATCTGGCAATGAAGATGACCTGTTACAGAGCTGTAATGGAGGTCAGTCTTGTCACATAGCTGCAGACCTCATTCACCACTGAGTAAATGTGAAACATTGTCCACAGTCTATGCCTCGTCTAGGGGCTGAGAACTGCAGCCACTTCCCAGTCACCTCTCTGATGCTTAGGTTCTCTGCACTTTCCCTTTTTCTCCTAAGGAGGTCATCAGATCCATCTTTGTCAGGTGTGCAGGAACCTCACCGAGGAGATGTCCTCCTCACAGGACATCTCAAATGAATGTAAATTCCTGAAGAGAGGTGCAAAGAGGGTGGAAGCTTTTTTCAGTGGTGTCCAAGAAAAGTGGACAAGAGGCAACGGGCACAAACTGAAACACAGGAGGTCCCCTCTGAACATCAGGAAACACTTCTGCACTGCAAGGGTAACTGAACACTGGCTCGGGTGCCCAGGGAGGGTGTGGAGTCTCCCTCCCTGGAGATATTCAGAAGGTGACTGGACACAGTCCTGGGTAACTGGCTGTGCCTGGGTGGCCTTGCTTAAGTAAGCAGGTTGGACCAGGTGACATCCAGAGGGCCCTTCCAACCTCAACCCTTCTGTGATTCTGAAAGAAGCAAAGTGTCTGGTGGCAAGGCTTTCTGGAAAAGAGAGAAGCAGGATAAAGGGTAGGTCCTTTATCCCAGTGGCAGACTGAGATACGGCTCTCAAGAGTGTTGGGAAGAAGCCTGATTAGCAGTCAGGAAGACTGTGGCTGAAGAAGCAGGAAACAGCTTTCCTTCAGAGAGAGAAAATCCTCACAGATGTTCTCCTTCCATGAACCTGAATAATGAGAGCACAGATTTAAAATTATACCAAGGACACAGATTTGTCAGTTGAGATGAGAGAAGATGAGAGGGTGTCCCTTGACGTATGTAGTAGGTCTCCTCTAAGGGATATGAGCTGGAGCTGCTGGAGGGACAGAGAAGTCTGGCTGATCACTTCCTTGTGTGTAGAGGAGGAGACTCTACATATGCTCGAAATGAGATCACTGTCAGTGCCAGACAAAGGAGTGTGGTGTTTTCCATTTGGGTCTTTAGGGGGAACATGGCAATTTATCTAGTGCATAAAAACGTCTAAGCTACTGAAACATCCAGAGGGAAGAAAGGGAGGGAGGTCAGGAAACACAACCTGATGTGGGCCCAGGTGAGCTAGTTCTGTCATCTGTCTATGGCATCTGCCAGATATGAATTTGAGATAGGGAAAAACAACATTCCTGAAATAAAAGGCAAAATATGAGAGCAGATGGGAGACCATTTAGCTGTCTTCTGATCCAGGCTAAGGCATTGATTTAAAAAGAGTGTGACTGATAGTCATAAGCAGACTTTACATCAAGTCGTCACAATATATATACAGCTCTTTCTTGCCCTCTTCAGCATTTTAGAGTCTGTCTTTAGTGTCTATAAGAGAATTTCCTCTAGTTTTGATTAAGGGATATGTTTAAATAATCCCTTGAGGAAGTCAGTTTGTACCAGCTCAATATCTGAACTCTTAAGTACATAATAATTGCACTATATCACAAAGCAGAAGAACATAAAAGATTCTAGGAAAAACTATAAAACATCATATAAGTCCAGTGGTATACTTCCAGTAACAGACTCCTAGGTTAAGAGTGTAAGAACTGAGGCAAATATACAGTGATCTTCCCCTTCTAGTGCTCTCCTGACTCTGGCAATCAAAGACAAAGGGACTTTCTGAGTTGGAGATTTCCTCTAAACCACCAGGATTTAATAACCCCCGGGAACATTTTCGCCCGAAGTGATGTAATTCCAGCTTAAAAACATTTACATTTTGGCAATGAATTCCATACTTCGATTATGCATTGTGCAAAAAAAGCATTTCTTTTGATTTCTGTAAAGCTGCTGCCTGATAAGTTTATTTGGTACCATTAGTTCTGTTATTAAGGGAAATACTGAATTTCTAATCAACTTCTCCATACTATTATCTTACTGACTGTTTTCCTTACTTATCACTTGTCCAGGCTATAGTGTTCTAGTCTGTTAGGTCTTCCTTCAAGTGGAAGTCACCCATGACTGTTCCTTTTTATTGCCTTTTTATGTCTCATCACATTGAATTAAGACTTTTGAAATGGAGCAAATTAGAGCTGCATGAATTTATTTGGTTGCATAATATAGCTCTCTGCAGTTTTCTTCACTTTTTTTTTCTAATAACTCCTAACAGCCAATTTGCTGTTTCTTTTGTTGCTGAACTTTGAGTTGATTTTTTATCCAGAGTGCTCTCTTTTATTACGACAGGCTAAATTCAGTCATTCTTGGTGTCATTCTTCTTTAGTTTTCCAATTTTCTTTGAAATACTTATACTCCTCCACAATATTTATTCTGAGTACCCATTATCATCTTTTGCAGTGTTCTTGTCTCTTTATCTTTGAAAAATATATTTAACGAGTATTTTACATTTTTATTCCCAACTTGTTCTTATTTCTTTTACTTTCCAATAAGCTAACATATTTCTTTCAGATGCTGTCTTAAACCCATAATAATTTTTATGCACACTTTGTTTTATAAATGCAAACATGCTAATTTTTATATCTTAAAAGAATTCTTTTCATTGTCACCAAGACTTACCATTAGTCTGTGTCTGCCAAATGGCATCAGATAGGCCCCAAAGAGCAGGGAATATGAAAAACACAGCAAGCTGCTTAGGATGAGGTTTCCACAGCAGTAGTGCTATTATACAGGCAGCGTTTGTAACTGTGGCTGTTGATTTAGAAAGAAAGAAGATAAATGTAAATGCAATTACAAACCCTACAGTCAGTAGCGGGTAACACTTTCAAATTCTTCCCCCAACTAGAGCACAAGGCAATCTTAAAGTCTTTCTGGTTCATTGAGATTTGTGCTGACAGAGTCGATATCACATGGAATACAAGACAATGCAGTCCTTTAACAGTCTTCAATTAATAATCCTAAGCAGTGTCCTGCGCTGAGAGATCCTCATTGCTGATTAGCCCAAAGAACACAAACTGCCACTGAGTAGGAGAAGGGGCAGCTGAAAGACTTGCAGTCACCATGTAAGGTGTGTGCAAGGGGGAGGAAGCATCCTTCTATTCTCTCTACCAAGTCCTTAAATGTAGGTTTCCTTTCAGGGACAGAGGAGGCAATTAAGGATATTTAGAGGGTCTGGTGACTTTTTGTCTTTCTTCTTAAAAGCAGTTTGTAAATGATTCCTCCCTTCACAGGTGCACCTTCACCAGCTGAATACAAAGACCATTACACAGAACTGAGAGGTTCAGAGATCTTGTATTTTTAACATTATACTTGTGTTGTTGTTCTTGTTTTATGCTAAAATTAGTTTCATAGAGTGAGACATACACCTAGGACAGACACATACAGAAGAATCTCTGAACTAGTGACTGTAGCCCAAGTTTAAAATTTCCTGTGGAGAAAATGCCTAAAATACCTAGGTGTGCATTGACTCAGTCAGTGATGATTCTAATAATACAGGTTACTCTGTAGTGAAAGTCAGGTATTAGTTCTCTTCAGTATGCTTATTGGATACAGGGATGCAAATGAAATATTTCTTGGTATTTTTTAATGCCTCCATTGCTCTGTTACTCATTTGAGTCTTCCCTGGAGAGGGAGATGTTCTTAAATATACACATCTCTTCTCAAGGCAACATGAAAATTACTACCCCATACAAGCCCTCTATTTATTCTAGCCTGACATGCTGTCATATGACTTTCTTTTCTCCCTGTAGAACAAGTAGTGACAAGAACACCAGGCCAACCTTTAAAACTCCATAAAGGTGAGAAGGTTTCACCCCAATAGAGAAATCCTTCTCAGGCATAGTGTAGGCCTCAACATCTGTATTGTAAAATGATTTATCACTGGTTGCATTAAAGCTATAAAGCATTAAGGCTGCAGGGCACTTTCTGAGTAGATAGTCTCAATGATGTGATAATGACCTCAGTACAGTGGTTAACTGTGCTGCCTCTCTTCTTATGAATGATGTTTGCCTGCAGATTGACTTTGCTTTTAATTGATAGCTGACAGTGACCTCTCCCTTTGTAGTGAATGTAAAGGGAAGACCACCGGATTTGATATATTACATGAGGTGATAGTCCTTCAAATTACCTTTACATACCTAATGCAAATAGAAGTTTTCTACCCGTGAACTGAGAGATCTTTCCGAAAAGCAGAGAGCAGAGGGAATTTACAGCTGAAAAGCAGATCATCACGTAACCAACATAATGTATCCCCAGAGCGCAGGTCACATATGCCTGGAAGAGAAAAGACAGTGATACCACCTTTTCCTCAGTGAAAACATGCAGCTAAAGTTCAAGGGTCTTAGCCTGAGTATTCAGTAAATAGCCAGCATGGACAAGATCAAAGGAGCATAGCTACACAGTTTGCTGACAAGTCCCTGGTGTATTGACATAGTTGACCTTCAACAGTTATATTCCTAACCTAATTGCCAATCAGGCTGATGCCATGCAAACAGAGCAGCAACAAGCAGAAGAAATCAGAGCACTGCTCACTATGCAAATAAAACTCCTGGAAGTGGCACTAGGAATTTTCTGCCCTTCCCTTCGTAGCCCAAGAGATGAAAATTCACAGCCAGCACTACAGTCATTCCAGAGCAGCTCCCAAGAAAAGAAGAGGACCTCACCTATAAGAGCATACAACCAGTGGAAGTGGCCATGGAGTGCCCCTTCCAATCCATTCAAACACAGCAGCAAGTTCAATCTTCCATCTGCTTATACGCAAATGCTTTGAAAGCTCAAGTGTCAAATAAGCAGCTCAGGAAGATTGTCCCCTTTCTTTGGAGATGCTCTCAACAAACGTCTAGAGAACACACCTGCTGTGTGGCCAGGTTTGTAGAGAGACTGGAGGAGCAGAGGTGGTTTTCATCATTTCAATCCAGGGTTTGGACCTGTTGCGCTACTGACTGGTGAGGGCTTTCAGCCACATTGAGGATTTGCCTTGTTACCATAAAGGTTATCAAAATAAAATATGTGGTATGTGTGCTGACTTGCACTTATATAAACTCTAGGGAAACCAGAAGGAAGGAAAATATAAAAGCTTTGCAGACTGCTGGCTTTTCTCCCAGTTTGCTATTTACAACAAGCTGAAGAGTTTGAACCTGTGGATCTCTGCTGTGGCCTTCACTGGTGAGTTAAGCTCTTTACAGTGTTCTTTTTGAGGCTGTTCCAAGGGACATATTTATCGCTGGCCTCTCCTGTTTGAAGATGTCACTCAGAGTTCATTCGAGAAGTAAGCAGTAATTTAGCAAACCACAAATTGCCATCGAAAACATCTTTGTTTAACAAGTAAATATAGATCGGATGCAATAGCAAGACACAAAGGCACAAAAAACAGTCAGAAAGATATAGATTTTCATTGTCATCCACACCTTTGTGTAGTCACCAGAAAGAAATCCCTGTTCCAGCCCACTGTAAATTGTCAGAGGGATTAGAAGACACTGTCTTTTATCTTTAAGATGCTGGAAAGTTGCTAGGAACGTAGACCAAAAGGATGGTGTCTCTGGTATTTCTTTCTCAGTCTCTGCTTGGTCAGATTTGATCTGGTCCAGAAATGCAACAATCAGCAACACAGCTAGCACACCACTAGCTGCAAAAACAAAACAAAAAGTTCATGAAAAACTGAGTAATGCTGCAAGAATGATGGGAAGTTGCTTGCTGCTGTTATTGTTCTGACTTCGTGCTTAGCTCTCTGTGGGATGTTTTGGCAGATGCCTCTGATTCCGCTTCAGTGTAAAGGCCATTTCTGTGTAAACAAGAAGGCCTAATCTACATCAACATCTTTTGCTTACAGCTGTGCACCTCACAAATCCCCTCAGCTTAACTGTGACTGGCCTGTTGTGACAGCCGCCGGGGCAGCTGTGTGGCCACAGAGGGCGATCGCTCACCCTTCCAGGGCAAGCCAGGGGTGCAGGGATGGGGAGCTGGCCACGAACAGCTCCCTCGGGAGCTATCAGAAGGCTTTAAATCAACACGAGAGAGGAATATTCACTTCCAGTGCCAAGGTTTTCATGGCTAGGGGAGATCTTCCTTCAAATTTGTGGAAAGAATAATAAAGGGCTAGAATGAGAACTGCTGTCTTGCATCCCAGTATATGCTGCCTTTTCTTTTTCTTTTTTCTTTTCTTTATTAGCTCAGAGCCATGCTTTGAGCACAGAATATTGCAATAGGATGAGGGGTATTGGTTTTAACTTAAAAGAGAGGAGATTCAGGCTGGACGCGAGGAAGAAATATTTTACAATGAGGGTGGTAAAATACTGGAACAAGTTGCCCAGAGAAGTGGTGGATGCCCCATCCATGGAGATATTCAAGACCAGGCTGGATGTGCTTCTGAGAAACCTGATCGAGTTGAAGATGTCCCTGCTCATTGCAGAGGGTAGGACTACATGACCTTTGAAGATCCCTTCCAAGTCAAACTATTCTATGATTCTATGTGCTATTTTAAACATGACAGACGGTAACTCTGGGGGACTTGAAAAAGATGTAATTTACAGCTTTGACCCTATAATTTCCTAGCAGAAGCAACATATGAAAGAATATATGGGGTAGTTAGTCAGAAAATTATCATATACATATCAGTCTAGGCTTGTTGCTTGTGGACTGAATCAATACCATCTTTTTCACGTTATCAAGAAGATAACTGTCTCATAATATACACGGAGCACCCACAGATTCACAAGCGATTGCTTCTTTACAGATGCAAGGCATGATTATGTTTCCTCTCTTGCTTATGCTGACTAGAATTCCATCCATGGAAACAAGTGGAGTTCAGAGTAAGAGGAGAACGAGGCACTTCTTCCCATTTACATTGCCTATTTAATGTGCTCCTATGTTACCATGTATGGGTGTGCTCTCTTCTGTGAATTTTTAATGTCCAAATATGTTAGCATATTTACATTAAATTGCTTTCAATTTTTATTGCTTATTACTTCTCATCCATGCCTTTTAGAATTAAATTGTATTCTCCAGTGCCCTGATTCTCCACTGTGGCTGAGCTGTAAACCATTCGCCATTATTAGTTCTGCCAGGCTGCTTATTAGTGCTTATGTACTGACTGAAGGACTTATATGGATGAGAGCAGGACATCCACATGTACAAGACAAACAGTCTAACAAACATGTCAAATGAATCAACAGCAATTATAGGAGATAAGCACCTTAATACTAATTGGTATGAATATAAATAGAGATATCCACAGTCTGTGAAAAAACTAAACAACAAAAGACCTATTCACTATTGTCTCCACCCAAGCCATGCAAAATATGTGTTCAGCAACCAAAAAGAAGAAACATTTAAAAAATGTCTGTGAATGAAATAGTTAGCTGTTTGGTTTCCCTCAAGGTAAGAAAAGACATACCTTTTATTAAGAGCTTAAAAGGAAAATGAAACCCTACTGACAACAAGGTCAGTAGACAGCAGTGTTGCATTCACTTTGCATGATCACAGCTTAAGGGAGTGCTGTATATGTTAGTCATCAAATTTAAATTTAAACTTGTGAGCCAAACCTGCCTTTAGCAGAAAGGCATCAGCTTCAGCACACTCTGGAAGGGAAGTGGGGGGATATTCTTCACATTTTCTCACCAACTAGGAATGGAGCTTGGGGAAGGAAGGAGGTTTTTCTGCGATGCCCATGTCCAGTGAGGACTGGCTTTGACCAAGACACATTCTGTTTGAGCATATGACAAATTGCGTGCATCTATCTCAGCAAAGAAGGTGTATCTATGTTCAGAGACTGCAAAGATACTTTATCAGAGCTCAGGCGACATATTGCCTTTCCAGATACTTCCACTTTATCCAGCGAATAACTTGTTTTGAGCTGGATACTTTTTGAACTTTCCTCACTGAATGAATCTTTGCACATCTATTTTTGTTTTTCCAATTTTGGATGGCATCAGCCTTCTGTGTCCTTGATTCCTTTCTAGCCTTATGCAAGGAAGGTCTATAGCAGCTGTAGTTACTGAATGGGAGATGTGCCACTTCGTCTAGTGCTTCTTTTCATCTTTGCCTTTCACACTAAGGTGTTAGAATTCAGGCAACAGAGATGAGAATTGACTGAAGTTGTAAAGTCTCAGTGGGGATCCAAAAACCTCCCCGAAAATGACTGCATGCTCTGGAAACCCTGGTTCAGGTCCACCTCTAATTACAGTGCGGTTCTTGTGCTAAAACTGTTTTACATGTGGTAGAACACCAGCCAGTTCTGGTAGATATGCTCAGATGACTAGAAGCTGGTAATTTCAAGTACCACTAAATGGGCTGCTCTTAGCATCTTGGATCTCTGCATGGATATATAAATCTGCCCAGTGCCATTAGTAACTAGTTCACTATTGATGATCCCGAAGATAGTGAATTTAAAACTCTCTCTCTCATGCATAACTGGATAAACTGCTGTAATCCTCTAATTGCAATATGGGCATACTTTCGATTCTTCTGATTCAGCACAGACTTTGGGTGAAACAGAGGGGTCACCATGCTGGGCTTCAGCTTTATTCCAGGTGAAGAGTGTAAAGAATGTCTTGCTCCTTGAAACAAAAATGATACGGCACTGGCACAAAGCATTTGAAACTATTTGGAAAGGAGTTGTTTACAGCTCTCACGTATCTTATTTCCTTTTAGCAAATTGGATTGAGGGAGGAAGTTGGAAACTTTATCTGCAAAGTCACACTAGATTTCACGAGTAGTAGGTTCCCCATCAGTGATATTCATTAAAGATTGTGTGAATTACTTACCAGTGTAGGTCCCTAGCAGAATGTAGATTAAGGAGTTGGAGGGTTCTGCTGACCCAGTGGTGTTAGTCATATCAGTCATGCAATCATATGCTCCACAGCATGCCACTTCTGAGATTTCCACTAATTCAGTAAGAACCAAAAGAAACACTGGTCAGGGAAGAGATCAGATGAATGCATGCTATATGTAAGGATATGAGAAGGGAATCCAATGTTTGGTGTTTGGTCCTGATTTCAAATACTTCCTGATTAGAGATGTTTAACTTCAGAATCTCAGTTTAACACATAAAAATTTGATCTAACAGAAGATTTGATCTAACAGAACAAGGCAGAACATTGAACTGATGGCTATATGGAGACATGGATTAAATTCAAAGGCTGAAATGTGAATCCAAGCACAATTTGCACAATTTAAAGTTCCAGTGTGTATCTATCTATACTCTTAACCCCAATACCCAAGACAGGTCCCTCAATTTACACCACCACTGAACTGATAGACTTCAGTTCTTACAGCCAGAGCACGTTATCCCTTTCCATATAATTTATGGGAATGGAAACCACCTTGAGGCATCTTTTTGTTTTATAAATTCAGATTACGATTGCCCACAAACACAGTCTTCCAAGAAATCAGCTTTCCCTGGCTTTATTGCTTTATGACTGGCTTTATCACTCTTTGCTAATGTACTTGAAACTAGAACAGTTTGGCAGGGTTTGAAGTAAGACCTTTGTTTTGTTCAATCCCAGCAGTGTTGTGGTGGGCATATGTTGAAGCCACATGTGTGTACTCATGCACACTGTGTATTACCACAGCACCATGTCCACTTCCTCCAGTTCCCTTTCTGTAAAGAAAAAATACTAACCCAAAATGTAAGCCTGAATAAGCTGTATAGTGGGGAAGAATGATCAAAAAAACATACCATTGTTTCAATGCTTTCACTGCAGAATTTGTCACTTGTCCAAGCATAATAAAGGGCAATACACTGTACCTTGGCTGATTCCTTAAGCAGGACTTGATCTGTAATTTTGTGTTTAGGGTTGTTGTGTAACTACTTTTAGTGTGTTTTTCTCCACTGCTTCCAATCAAAGCTGCTGCAATGTGAACCAGTTGTTTAACTAGCTTCATAAACAACTTTAGGTTTAACATCAGATAAAACTTAATAACATAAAGAAAATAATTACCTTATAGCCAGTGGCTACCACTACACAGTTTTGAACAAACAGACCTGGAGCAAAATCACCATATGCAAATGGTGAGTCGCTCTAGTAGAGCATGGAAGTGTGTAAAACAAGTTTTCTATCTGTTTATGCACCCTCTGAAGATGAAGATGCACACGTATTTAGTGATATGGAAGTTGCAAGGCAGGGTTTGCTCTGTTCCTCTGGAAATAAAGCTGCAATACTGATGAGTAAGAAAGGATGACTCTTGTATTTTACATTCTTTTGTAGTATTACCTCATGATGTAGCTTGCCTTGCTGTGTCTGGGTGCAGTGATGCAGGCAACATGTCAAGGGTACGTATGTGTCTGAATTTTATGCATTTTGATTCTGCAGATACATACCACATCTTTCTGACTGCTCAGTGAAATTATGCATTTTAAACATATGAGCAACAGAGGTGGATGCCTTTGCTGTGCTGTCAGAGGAGAGGAAAAGAAGTGAGTGACTGGAGATCCTTACCCCCTCGCCCCCAACAAACTCTCTCTACATTAAAGCTGAGTCTCACTGAGAAGGCACAGTTGGGAAGCTTATGGTACGACTGCTCATCACTGTTGTGAAAATAGGCAAGGCCTTCAGCTTTGAGAGCTGTTCACAGCACACCTCCTAGGAACAGAGCATTTCCTGAAATCCCATGTAGTTGTTAAAAAATAAGTAAAAGATTTTCTTTAGAATTTAAAGGAACATCCTCAGATGTAAAACTAGGAGGGGATTTACAAGGCAAAAAAAAAAAAGGGGGGAGTATTTTAATCCTCTTATTAATATGATGTGTGCTGTGAGGCAGAAGAGAGTAAAATGGCTGCAGTCTGTGCAAACCCCACAGCTGCACCACAACTTCTGCCCTGCAAATGAAATCAGGACAGTCCCTCCTGAGACATCGTGAGGATCAGATCAGCAGATCAGCAGGACTCTGTTGCACTTGATACAGTCCTTTCACATTCTGCTTTGATGGTGTTTCATCTGGAGTTTCTTAGGTTTAAAGGAAGCATGATTCTCTGTAAGTATCACACCTTGTGACAGCTACTTGCCATTAACCCAATGATTCAAAGATTAAAACATGATGCCAGCTCCCTGACGTTTAGTTTTAACCTAATACCTATTTGAATACATTCTAGAGGACATACTGCTGAACTGAGCTTGGGGAGAGAGCTAACTTCTTGCTATTCATAGTAGCAGTGTGCATGGAAGGCTTTTTCTATGTCCATCTTGTTCTGACTTTGACAGGATAGGGAATGCACTGGAGACTGCAATGATAATACACCCTAGCACTTTGAATCTCTATGGAGGCATTCAAGTATTAATTTATCTTCACGACTGCCCTTTTAAGGCTTATACCAATTACAAGCATGGGAAATGAGAGCAGCACTGTTGAGTGATTTCTTCAAGCTAGATTGACATCTGCTGTCTGAGCCTGTAATACAGCAGAAGAGCCCTGGCATGCAGACTCCTGCCAACAGCTACTTCTATTTCTTCTTGACAATTCTGTAAAGCACACATTTTCAGCAAGCACCAGCATCGACTTGACTAACCTTGAATGTTTAATAGCAAATTAATCCAGTTCTACAAGCTTTGTGAAAAGGCTTCTTCAGTATTTTGCCTTTTGTTTTAATCCACTTTAAATTGAAGTCAGATGTGAAAGACTGCCACTGCTAAAGCCTATCTATACTTTACAACAAAGGGATGGAAATTGAAAGGAATTCAATAGAAATCTATTTTTGAGGTAGTTGTCTGAATTTTCTTTATAGCTGATGAAGAGATGATAGAAAATAGGCACTTCCAGAGAACAAGTGCCTGTTTCCATTGGCTGTGAAGTCTTAGCTACAGAAATCTACCTTTTAACTATCTAGAACTAGCTGATGTTTATAGGAAGAAGTGCCAAGATTTTAAAATATATTTTACCTTTGGTGGAAGCTTGGCTAAATATCAAGGATGAGATAAGATTTCCCCAGATGCCGGAGGACTGAAATATCAGAAAGAAGACCCCAAAGTATTGGTTGATAATGTCTTTCCCATTTTTTCCTGCTTTCTCAGCATATGAATTGCCAGCAATGGTGAGGTAAGTGCATTTGGCAGACCAGAGTGGTGCTCCTCCTACGCCCAGGATCACAGAGGTAGGGATTAGTGTGTACCTGCCAAAGAACACTTCATTTAGCATAGTTATTATCCATCACCATACTAATCATTTGCCCAAAGATCCACCATAAAAATCATTTGTCCAAAGATCCAGATGCAAAAATAAACATGAAAGAAATAGATTTTTCCTTTGTGTGATTAAATAAATGTTACATGGAACCACAACTCCGTAGAGTTGTGTTCCCTGTTACTGGACCCTGTTCCTCCACCTCTGAAAGGGAAAGGCAGGATCTGGCATCCTCCTGTGGTCCTCTGTTCCCAGAGCCACTGTCTGGAAGACAGCCTTCTCTTCAATCTTCTCAAAAACATTCCTAAAAGGAGTTTGGATTTTGAATGAATTTTATGATTTCTTTTTTTAATTTTTTTTTTTTCCTGAAGGGAAATCTCTGCCGCACACAAGAGGTAGAGCAGCAGCTTCAGGTGGGTGGATGGATGCATTCATTCTGGCTTTTTGCACATTTTCACCTCTCTGCTTTACCTGCTACTGGATTTATTTATCTCTCTTTCTTGCAGGTAACACCTTCTGCATCCAACTTTAAATTCTGCAACACATGTGGAGTGGGAATTGAGAAAAAGGACAAACTTTGCCCTTACTGATTTTGTTCAAACATGATAGACAGAGTTAAAGTATTTAAATTGTACCAGCTAGCATGGAAGTTCCCTAAGGAGAATGCAATGTAGCAGCACATAGAGCCTGCAATGGTCCACTTGCAGCCCAGCTTCTTGATGAGGATTGGAGGGAGGAACATGGATGATAAGATGAGCGCAGCATAGAGAACACTTAAGGATGCAACACCCAGGCCTTCATCTGAGTGGAGACTGCTCTGCATGGACAACAACAGCAGTTGAGACAAATTTTATCACTGGCATTGTGTTGTTTGTGTGTCATGTTTTCTTCATAATGATAACCTATTTATGAAAATATGATACAAAACCAGGTGAGCACTGTTCAGATTCAAAGCTTTCATATGTCAGACTTTATTTAATGTAATCCGCTTGAGTTTCTCTTTGAAAGCAAGCTGAATAAAGGATAACCTCTTTTCTTGGCCTTCACTTCTTGTCTCAGGCAGGAATATCCTCAGATCTGCATTGCAAGTGCTGACTTAGCAACAGTGGAAGATTCTTTGCTTTAAACTACAGGTCTGATTATTTCTAAATTCTTCAGAGGCCAAGGTCCAAATATCGTAATATGCTCACAGCAGCCCTCTGTAGTTGGAAGTAATTGATTCACCCACATTTTCACAACGGAGAAATAACATGTTATTAATCTAACCAAGTTTTATATTTTTTATCATTAAAATAGTTCTCCTCTTGTCTTGATACTGTGAAAGTTGCAATGAGAAGATCAAGATGCTGCTTATCAACATTTTCCTTATCCTTTTCATTAAAAGATGATACAATCCAGTAAGATTTTGGAAGGGGGAATCAATGCTGGGAGGGTAGCACTGGGAGTGCTGGAGGAAAGCAAGGCTGCTTGGTAGCTACGCTGAATACTTCCAAACCCTGTGGTGGCTGCATGGTCCAGCCATGCAGGACCATGATGGCATCCACACAACACCCCTCGTGAGAAGCAGGCATCAGGACAAGGAGGTGAAGAGATTCTCTGCTGAGCAGGTTCAGTGTATCTGAGAATCAGAATGGCTATTCTGTAAACAGGCAAAGAGGCTTCCTGGTCACAGAGGTCTTACCTCTGAAACACCACAAGCCTGGTTTTGTCAGCTACAGCTTCCAAAAATTAGAAGCCAGGCCTCCAAAATTATATGATTGGCTTAATTCTTGCTGCTTTGTTTTTTGGGGTTTTTTTTGTTGGTTGGTTTGTTTGTTTGTTTGTTTGGGATTTTTTGGGGGTTTTGTTTGTTTGTTTGTTTTGGGGGTCTTTTTGTTTTGTTGGGGGAAAGCACAGAATGGCTGGGGTTCGAAGGGACCTCTGGAGATCATCTAGTCCAAAGCCCCTGTTTATCTACTATGAAGTATTCATAGTAACAGTAACCCTCAGTCTTTTATTTTGGCTATGCTAAACAAGCGAGCTCTAACAGTATCCTGAGTGTTCAAGTCATTCTAGAAACCCATCTCTGCTACTGTGTTTTAAGGTGTTAATGACAACACAAGGCAAAGCTGGCTTTGATTTAAAATAGAATTTTTTATTGTTATATCATGATGATAGGAATTATTGTATTATTTTATACTTAAATTATTTAATGGATTGGGCATTTTATATTTTACATTGTTGTATAATAATAAAATTATGGAAATTTAGAAATATTCAAAACAAACCCTTTCCAGAAGTGGAATTTGTTTTCCATTTTGCAATATCTTGTTTTGAGAAAAAGCTCAGAGAAATCTAGTTTTCATTCAAGCAACTAATTTGTAGACCTAAAGTAGTCTGACACAAGTACTCAAACTATTTGAGAAGTACTAGAATAAAATATTTAGTAAATGCTGGGGACCTGGGTGAGGAATACTAACCTGTAGCAAGTTGATGTTTTAACCCACCACATAAAAAATACTGTGCATGCCTTCCTCACAGAAACCATGGAAAGACTGATGGGTCTCACACTGCCAGATGGCCTGATGCCCTTGCATGCCAACTGTCCTGCCAACCAGAGGCACAGTCTCCGCTTACCTGTAGATTCTGGAGTCCTCCATAAGCAGTGAAGAGAAGTAGAAATCCGAAAGAAATGACCAAAACATTCCTAAGATTCCTTTCCATGTTGATTCATACAAGACAAAATGTCTGGCGGTGGGCAGAAATGATCCAATTATTCTAGGGGATGATTTGAGTTGGAGAAAAAAGGCTTATGTTTTGTTGGAAAAGGTCACTTCTCACTGCATGTGTAGAGGAAAGAGTTGTTAATTATTTGAGGATTGGCAGGTGAACTTTACTTTTACTGATACTGAGAATTCCTTATGGAGCTGTTACTCATTCACCATTTGTGGCTGAGGAAATGATGAGTTCTCCCGTCTAGCAGGTTTTATTAGGTAGGTATGTAAGTCACTTGCAGCAGTTTGCCTGATTTTAGCATTGCAGTTGTATGTTACATGGTTCTCTCCTATGACTAGCACAGAAGGAAAAAATTGCAAGCAGTGAAACAACCATCTGGCATAGAGGTACACTAATCCACAAAGGGCAAAGGTTAAAAGATCGTACTGAAATCTGTGTCAGGCCTATTGCTTAACTAAGGTTACAAAAGCATACTAGGAAATGGGATTGTGTTACAGTGTTGTCTGCATACTCCAGCCCTAAAGCTGTGCAAACCAATGTTGCTGGCTGCTTGGCAAGGGGGAGGGAGAGCCTTAATCTTGTGGTGAATCCCGTGGCTTTGATGTTCCAAATTTACCAAGTCATACCAATGAAAACTATTTTCCCCCATCTTTCCCACCTTTCTTTCTCAGAAGACAAGAAGAAAACTGGATGAAGCAGATAAATGAAAAATCTCCTCCAGCCCCTGCAAAAAAACAACCTTTGTGGGATATATTTTATCTTGCCAGTGCTGCCTGATCAAGGAGTGAAGTTTCCCCTTAGCCAACCAACCTTGCTGTGTATGCCCCTGCTTTCCCCTGTTTTCAGAGTCTGCCCTGTGAAGCTGCACTGTCTGTTTGTCCATGACACATTGGCTACCATGCAAGTCCTAAGTGAGTTTTTGAATATTCCCCTTCTGAGCACATAACGTCCTCTCTGCCCCTGAGCCTGGCAGGGTGAACAGACCCTTCCTGCAGCTGTAGCAGAGGAGGGATTTGAACGTGGGAGCAAAGTGAAATACAAAAACCTCCACACTACAGCGTAAACAGATTCGAGCGGAGGCGGTCTGTAGGAGGTCCGTTGTGTCTAGTGGGAATGCACAGATAAAACTTGGTCTAAATCCCACTAGATGGCACAATTTTGCTTTCCAAAGGGACATTCGAGGGAGGGGGGAGGACCCTTTAATGCATTAATTCATTTAATACTTTAAAGAGGTCACAGCTAGTTTCTACTTTGGAGAAAATTCCAGTATGTGCCTTTTCATTTTCTTCTTTTGTCTTATAATCTTCTTGAATGAAATAATGCAGAAAACATAATCTTTTAATTCTCTATTGTTAAAGGTACAGCTATATTGCCAGTCTAGATAGTGAAATACCGGCTTTTTATTTTACAGACTACTATGCTCAGCATGCAAACACTTTCAATTAGATCACAATGCTGCTCTTGTTTTGCAGTGTTTGTAATCCTCTACAGGGCTTCTAAACCAAACTGGTGGTACTTTTTCCAATCTTTTAGGGTTTATGGACCCTTGCATTTTTCAGGTGAAGGCATTTCAGAAGAAACTACACGTGGTGATAACATGGTTGTTTCTGGTTTGCACCCCCCAGATACAGTCTACAAAATTCTAGCGGTTTGAGGTCACAGGTTTGAAACCATTGGAAAAATGAACGAGAAAATGTAAGAATAGTGCTTACCCTAAACAAAAGTGTAATTGTCACCTGCTCTGGCAGAGGCAAGAACCAAGCTAGCACAAAACAGACTTAGTTATAAAAGCAATTATTTTAGTGCTCTTTTTTAACATTAGCAGTAATAACAACAGAGCTTTTAAAAATCAGCATTAACTGGATGCTACGTTTAAAATGGGGTGTTGGATAGGTTATCTGATCAGCTCTTCTGCTCTGGACAAATTCTTAACCCCTAACTTAGTCATGGTCTCTCAGCAGCACAGTATTGGAGAGCATTTAGGGGAGGGTGGGTTTTTTCATGGAGTTTATTTCTTTTTTCTTTCTCCTTTCAACTGATCAAAGACATTTCAGTGTGTTCCGCATCCCTTGCCCAGAGTTTTGGGTTATCCAACTGCCTGGTCCTTAGTGTCTCCTTAGGAATGTGTGGAGTCTTTACCAAGGAGATCTGATAAGGCTGAGGATCTCTTCCTTTGGTACCAGGCAGCGGGGGGCTCCAGCAGGCCTGCTGTGTATCACCCTTGACACCTCTTTCATTCTTTCTGCCAGTCTAAGATTAAGTGAGCCTCAGAAGCTATGCACTGCATTTTGGGTTTAGCTTTCACATAGAAGACTGCAGCCACCAAACTGAAATGTCTCTCAGAGCACAATCATAAAAATGGGAGATAGAAGAGGCTGGTTAAATTCATCACTACATCCCACAGCTGATTATGTTTGTTTTCCCGTGTTTGTTTTCTCAGGGTAAATGAGGGCAGCCTTTGCTCAAAAGATTATAGCACCAGAGGCTAACCTTTGGGGGGTGGTGGTGGTGGTGGTGGTGGTGTGCTTCATAATTATCATTTCCCTATTTACTTTTTGCTGGTTAAATATATTTAGGCAGTTCTTTTAACTACAGCAAAACAACACACAAACCCCACACCCCCCAACAACCAGAATACTCACCACAGGATTTTCTGGTTTAGGAGGCTTTTAATTAATTAAGTCCTTGGTGCTACACACTATCCCTTGAATTTATCTCTAGAAAGGATCAGTAGTTTTATATGCCAGCTGGCCAGTGGTTTGGCCACCCACATAATATGGGCAAGCGTTGCAAGAGCTGTTCTCAGAGCTTGCCCTAACTGGCACTAGTCAGGAGTGGTAGAGGACATGTGCTTATCCATGGATGCCTCCATGGCTAAATGTGACACATATGCCTTGCAAATCCCAGCTGTGCTGACAGGGGCTTAGAAAATATAGGCTGTTACATGCTGAGAGAATCTCGAATGTGAGATTCATAACACTGAGCTGAACAGATCAAGTAGTAAAAGCTGCTTTCTCCTGGGAAGGGGGTGCGAAGGGAGTTGCCAGTCAGTGAACTCATCTTGATGACAATGTTGGAGTAAAATAATTTTTGTTGTGTGAAAGATTCCAGCAGTGTGAGTTGCTCCTGTGTGCCTCTAAGGGTCTCAACATCTCCCCTCCTCCAGCTTTTCAGCTCTCATTTCCAAATTTCCCTTATCTCCTTTCAAATACTGCTCCTTTTCCACCATGCAGTGCATCCACAGATGTTGTTCTTTAATCTCTTCCCCCAATACCCTTGCACAGACATCAGTATGCCACTTCCATCTGAATTTTACCTGCTGATGTCCTCTGTCTTTCTCTGGAGGCACTAAACTGTCTATTTCAATCTTCCTTTATGTCCTTGATGTATGTTGTCCTTCCTTATTTCTTTGCTGTTCTCTAGCCATCACCCTGCCTTCGTCTCTCTGCTTCTCCTTTCTTGCCTCATGTCCTGAGTGCCACTAGAATTTTTGTTTCTTAAAGAAGTCACCTGAAAACTGCTGTTGTTACACTACTTTTAGCCTCAACGGCTGTAAGATCCCTTTCCCTCCTCTCTCAGCACTGCTCTTATATCTCATGCAGCCCTTTTCCAGCTCCATTACTTATCCCTTAAGGAAGAGGAGAGATGCCTTGTCTTCTGGGCTAGGAGCCAGATCTTGGTAGAAGGGAGACCAAATGAAGAAGGAGTAAAAGTGCAGGCCATAGGCTGAATAAAGTTGTGACTTTTCCATCAGTAGGACCATGCAGGAGACTTTCTCCACAGGACACTTGTCTGCTCTGCTGAATGCAGCTGTCCAAATAATGAATACTGTCTCTATAGTAAATGCAGGACTCTGTTTAGGGTAGGACGGTGTGATGCCAGTCTAGGCTCACTCACAAATTTTTGAGAGCCAGATAAACAGTTCTTTTAAGTGTTGGACTTCTTATAGGTGTTACTCTCCTGCTGAGATCTGCATGTCTCTTGGCTGGAGCTTTCAATGCATGAATGCATCTATGAGTGTTCATAGATACTAGTTCTAGCCTAGGGAGAGATTCAAGCATTTTGGAGGTAAGACACTGCCCTGTGCAGCATCTGACTTCTATGCAGAGGACAACTGAGAAGATCAAGCCCTCCAGGCTGACAGATGCCCATAAAAAACATCCTGTTTCTCCACCAGAGTTGTCTTGCATTCATTCTCTTATGAAAAAAGTGCTTTCATCTGGACCAAACTCAGCCTATTCACATTTTACCTTCTTAAAACTGTTGCCTGAGCACTGACATTGTACATGTACCTTGCCCTGCATTTTGGATGTTTCAGAATAGCTGGGGCAAACCTTTTTCTAATCCTAAACCAGCGGCTGTGACTCAGTTGGTGAGACTTAACACCCTGCTAAGATAAACATGCTACTGTTGTGATCTGCACTTTTATAATGAAAGGGTAGGGAGGCGGATCCTGCATATGAACAATAGACTTTTGTGTAGCAGGGGCGCTGAAGTCTTAAAAGCCATTTACTGGAAACTGCTCGAATACATACTGGTTGTTCACATAAGCATGCATCAGAAAATCCTTGCACACACCCATGGTGTGGGCCGGGAGGATGGGACTCAGCAACTCAAACCATGTACTTCCGCCTTCCTTTTTTGGTTCAGAGATGGCTGCTTATGTTAGTAACATCCACTATGAAAATGGTCTATAATGCTTAGCCAGGAAGCCACTGCTTTTGAAAAGCTATCACAAAGATTTGTGACCAATTTATCAGCTTGTGGAAATAAAAGGGAAAGGAGAAAGGGGCTTGATCCCAGAAAGTAGGGTTGCTTAAAAGCATATCACTGTAAACATCCAAGGATGTGAAGGTTTTCACTCTCCATTGTCTTCCACGCTTCATTTTGTCCATTGGTTGCACCCATGGCTGGAGACTGACATCAGAGGAGTATTTCCCATCTATTTACCACTCACTTTCATCAATATAAATACCTATGTCAGATAA